CAAATTCTGGCCCTCTAACAGTACAAAGCTGACAGAGGCTCTAGCCTAAACCGGAGGAAGCTAAGCTGTACTAAATTGGAAAATCATTCATAATTTTAGTACGAACCACGTTAAGACGTGGTTTCAGCTCGTGCCGGAAAAGGTGTTAATCCTTAAGCTGGCGAAAAGATTATTGTCGTTGTGTGCAGACAGAGGCGAGGATATAACTGTACCACAGTCTCTCTATAGTCTATAGAGGGACTGTGACCGGACCCACTTGGTTCGAGCTGAAATCAATTCCTCACTTGACAACCTGCTCATAATTATCTCAATATTTCATGTAACAAACTGATTTTTTTCATTAAATTAAAACATCTGAACATTCTGCTATTATTATTTGTCTTTCTTTCCCTAACAACCGATTGTTTTCAGCACGTGCCAACTTGTGAATTCTGAACGCCGCAGTATATGTAAAATTAAAATAATCCGTACGGTAATGGTACACGTTTTTGTAAACCTATTATAATATAGGTACACGTCAAATTAGCAAGATAAGACCCAGCTGTGATGTCTCGTGAATATATAGGTAATATATATATTTATATATAGCAAGATAAGGTACCAGAGCTGGGGCATCTCTTTGATTTCGGAAATCGTGAATTCTTATTTATTAGATCGATATTAGATAGGCTTAGACTTATGGATGGATTATGTAGAAGATTTTTAAAAATAAATAGAAAATTCAAGGTGATGCAGAAAAGCTCAGAAAATAACTGAAGAAACACTTCAATTAAAAACAACATGTGAGTACTTACAAGCAGCTGAGAAAATGTTACACAATTCAATATTTTTAAAATAATTGGCGAATGCTAAATTTGATAATTAATTAAAAGGTAAAATGTAACATAAAGTTTAAACAAATATAACAAAAGCAAAACTTCGACAGAAAGTGTTCTCTGCAGGTTATCATAAGTTATAAATTTAAATAAAATTATATACGAGAATTATTAAAAGGTTGAAAAAGAAATGTTGTTCCACTTCGTTATAGTAAATGAATATACTACTTATTAGTATAAAATTAAAATAATTATTGATTGAAATATAGATCATATAGTGCAATCACATTGTTCAAGTGTATTTTTAAACTTATCGTCCAGTTCACTGAATTACCCCAGAGGCGAATCCTAGGTTTGCAGTCCTTTGCGTAATTTAAAAATGCTTCGCAGCAGCGGCTGAGTATCTGCAAAATAAATGTAAGTGATATAAATACATGAAACGTCTGCAGACAAGTATATGAAGTGTTTGGACAGTTTCGCGCCCAACAAAGAGTCATGTATGCCAGGCGTATTCTCGGGCGGAGATACGTCACAGAACGTCCCATGATTCTAAGACGCGAACCACTACTGTACAATGTATTTCTATGGGCTCTGTGCAAGCCTAGCCTGACAAGGTCGCCTGATTTGCGCCCTCCGCGGTGCTTCAAACCCAGCACAGTTAGTGTGATGCCGTTCGGTCGACGAAGGCGCCACTCACGCCTACATGTCAGGTTATGTGCGAGCCGTTTTCACCGTGATGGTTGCAAGACGGTGCCCCTGATTGCTCAAAAAGTGTGACCATTTTTGACTCCCGTGTGCGAAGCACACAAAAAGGGAGTCTTTGCAGTTAGTGTGTCTGTCTGTGTGTCGGTGTGTGTGTGTGTCTGTTCCACTGATATCTCAAGAACCATACATTGATTTTTGATGACACTTAGTGCATAGGTGCTCTGGGCCAATGCGCAGATTTGATTAGGTTTTGGTAAAAATCCATGCATATTAATTACCTAATTTGCAGATATCTAAAGAACCACTCATTGGATTTTGATGAAACTTGGCACATAGATGCTCTGAACTAATGCGCAGATTTGATTAGTTTTGGGTAAAAATCTGTGCAATATTAATTATCTAATTTGCATAATGATTAATCAATTTTTGACTTTTCCACTGATATCTCAAGTACTAATCATCACATTTCAATAAAACTTGGTACATAGATATCATAGGACACTGCACGGACCTGATAGTATTTAGTGTAATAATAGTACATATTAATTACCTAATTTGCATAATTAATTAATGTTCAGCTTTTGATATTTCAATTACTGATCATCATATTTCAATGAGACTTGCTACATAGATCCACTAGGACTATGCAGAGACCTGATTAGTTTTAGGGTAAATAATTGTGGATATATTAATTACCTAATTCGCATAATGGGTTCATTTTTTCCATGAATGTTCCACTGATATATAAAGAACCACTAATTGGATTTTAATGAAATCATCATCACATTTCAATGAACCTAGGACTATGCAGAGACCCAATTAGTTTTTGGTAAATATTTATGCTTATTAATCACTTAACACTGATATCTCAATTACTGATGATCACATTTGAATAATATTTGGTACATAAATGCTGTAGAACAATAGACAGGCCCGATTAATTTTGGGTTGAAATTTGTTCATATTAATTCTCTAATAATAATTCATAGTTTTTTTGTTCTAATCACATTTCAATGAAACTTGTTACATAGATATTACATTACGCAGGCCTTATTAGTTTTACACTCAAGTCTGTTCATATCAGTTACCTGATTTACATAATTAGTTTTCAGCTATTCAATCAATATCTCAAGTAATTTTAAATTATTTTTAATGTGTTTTCAATACTTTCAGCACACGGGAGTTCTTTCTAAGCTTTCTTTGATTATAATTGGATAGTGGCAAAATCTATACCCATATTTATACCAAAGTACCATTACTGTCATCACTGTTTATTCCGAATAAAACAGTTATCGTATTTGCTCTATTAGAAGAGCATCTCCAATAGAAGCACATGTAAGCCAACAGTTGCATTGTATATTGATTTTTTAAAATATGTATTTTGACCATAGAAACACCTCTGTCACTTACATAAGACCATATTATTAACACAGTGTTCAGGTTATTTGTACCAAAATGGAAAAATATTACCGATACTTATACCTAAAAACCAAAAAACGAGACCCATTTCAGGGGCACGTCTCCATTAGGCAAGTTTTATGTAACCCCCACACCACGAGAATACCAATAATTGGCGATCAACACTTATTGTGGGTGTTACGTCATCGGATCGTGACTGGTACGGACTCGAAAGGTTATAACAAGAATTGTAGCATAATGCTACTGGGACCAAATCCAATGTTTCCCCAGGAGATTTGATCAAAAATTCAAAACCAAAGTAAGACTCAACTTCCATAGTCACTCTTTAACTTGAATATCGATTCATAACTTCGATAATTATCGGATAATTATCTGCGAATTCAAAACCAACGTGAAATTCGACTCTCCTAGTGACTCCACTTCAATACTTCAATAAATATATTCAAAACAAAAGCCAGAATCGCCTTCCTTGGTGACTGTGTCTATATCGATCTAAAAATTTGATACTCAGGAACTGCACCCGCTTTTCCAAAATATTCAAATGTTTACACCGTTTATTAAGAAAATGCTAAATACCTGTACAATAACGTATTTTTAGTAAGCAAATAACACCGAATAAACGGCAAGGTAAAGACTATGTCTAATTATAGTAAACACGTACTGCGTGTGTGACTCGAACCGGCGCTCGCGTACGTACGTATTTTTAGGATATTCTAGCGATGTTTGGTTTTCGTTTTACGATTGGCGAATTCGAGTATCACCGGGAAAAACAAATTACAAAATTAAAATTACAGATCTTTGGTCCAATTTTGCCATTTCCCCGATTCTTATGGCCTATATATTTTGGTGACATATAAGGGTTTTACGTCATGAGAGTGCTCTAACCATACTAATTTAAATTTTGGCACTGTATGAACATATTATTATACGGCTATTATATGGGTAAAAACAGACGAAGACGTTTGGTCGCGTCTGTTCATTGGGAGGAATAAATATGCTAATATGGTAGCTCGTGAGTAGGTTTTGATCAACCAATATGACAGTGAATACGACGTCAAAGTCTGCCTCAAATTTGTTTGGTGTGCAACATACATTATGTTACGCTCGGTCTTGGAAAAAGACATAACGCAGGGCTCTTATCTGTTGTATCTATATCTATGCAAAACTATCTATTTTAATTGGATGTCATTGACCACTATGGGCGCTTTTCAAATTAACAAACCAAATGTGTTGACGTTTTACTCGGCTGAACATACTATACGAGTAATTTATTTTGACTATCAACGTGCCGCGGTGTATTGGTCATGAGAAATGCGCCTCCTAATTCTTTTTGAATTCCATATGGCACACGTCCACGTACAATTCACTAGGCAGTTTACGAGTTGAGCAGCCAACTGACGTGAGCAAAGGCTTTGGGTTATCTATGCTGTTTACGTTAACGGCGCCCTCTCACTACTGGAATTACCTGTGTATAGTAATTTGATATTCACGCTTCCCTTTCACGCACTATCATATAAATTGACATACAGGCGTTGTCATACATGATATAAGCACCCGGTTGCAAAATCTGTTCGCTTCTGTTGCATTTTAATATCGGGCGATTAAAAGGTCGTGTCTTCCCATTTTCTTAACCATACCCCGCGTGGACTCCACGGTTGATGTCAATAATAAGATTGAACGTCTAATGGCACAGACGTCAGCACATGTCCATATATGAATATCCTTCTAGGGTAATACCGATTAATGCGTAACTGTCTTTTGATTGTCATCGAACCAGCATCGCAATTACAAGTACGTTTTTCGCGTGACGACTTGACTGAAGATTAAAGATTGAAAAAATTGTCGCTGATATAACTGTCGCGATTGTGTTCCATATAAGGTGACTATTGTTATGCAAATTGTAATTAGTAAAAGAAAAATATATATATATATTGCTTGTGCTTGCCCCTCCCGTCCCCTGTGCACTCACCGACTTGCAGCGTGCATGAATATTGTTATGCAAATGAGTAACCGGAAATCGCTCACTGTATCGTTCGTGTCCTTCGCCCACTCAGTCACTGCGTTCACTGAGTACGGTGATCGCAAAGTCCTGCCTGTAGTACACATACCGTGCTGTCTTTCTTACAGGGGTGTAGTAGTCTGGGGTCGCCGACTCTCCCGCAGTCATGGGCAGCTTACAGGAAATGCGAAAGGTATTGCAGCAAAAGAATGATACAATAAGTAAGTTAGAAAAACAACTTAAGCTGAAAGATGACGAATTGGCAGAACTTCGGACTAAACTGGATAAATTTAAGTCGATTTTACCTGCTACTCAACCGATGCCGGGGATACATGGCGCCGAGCGTAAACGTATACGTGGGACAGGTATCTCCGCCGAGCCACAAGCCTTGAAATCGGTAAAAGAAATCACCCAACAACAAGTCAAGAAATACCCGAAAGGACGCAGGTAAGAAATTTTCATGTTACGTACCAAAGGTCAATCGTTTCAATTTAATGGTGTGCGAGCAAGGAACCTGATTCTGTAAAGGTAACTCCACGTATATGTTGACAACATCCGTCACTAAACTTTGGACTTGTTGGCGATGCAGATCCGATCCATCGCGTTCATGATACTAACTGAGATGTGCTCGCATCTTATTAGCTTTATAGCGATTTGTGCTAAATACGATCACAAGTACTCGGTGTAGCGTTTCATTTGGCGTGTCATGTGTAGACTGTATCGAAAGCAATCACGACTGAGTCCTGTTCAAGGTGATTCAAGATCTGTGTTTAAATTCATATTTCCATCACAATTGTCATTTGAGCGAGCGCTGTCTTTGCGTGTAAGACGAGCATGCAGATCGTACAAGACGGCACTTCGGGATAACACTACTGTACGTTTCTATTGATCGCGCATGGCTTTTGAAAAAAACAAAACAATTTATAATAGTAGCCACTACAAACCTCCTTCGTGGAGTGTTCCCAATAATCGATCCCGCTAAAAATGACTATTAAACGTATGATATGTTTTAAATGAGTTTTTTGAGAAGAGAAGGGGAATCCTGATTTGTGTTTGCCAGGGGGCGATCGGGAGTTGTGGTTGTCACTAGTGGAAACGAGCACTGGCAGTTCACGTTGCAGCATTCATAATACAGTATTCCCCGAGGTTGGTTTCAGTTGACAAGCTCTATTGTTAAAATAACTCTCACCTCGTACTTTAGAATTTCTTCCAGTTCGAACATCATATGTAGTGTTGAATTTCAACACTAGGGCAGATATGCTCTTTATGGCTACCTATTATTTTGCACACTTACCCTTCCGTTTTTCGGCAAACAAACAATACGACAAATCATTTGAAATATGTTTGCAGTCTACTCTAATAGCCTTTTAATTAATCGTGATTTATGACTCATTGGTGGAGTTGGTAGACCTGTAAATTGATAAGTGATGTGTTATACTGTGTTTAAGAGGTCAGTGTTTGTACCTCTGAACTACACAGTCTTAATGCCCTGTCCTTACACTTATCAATAGTCTTTTGTTATCCTGTCTCAAAGGTTCAAGTTGACAGGTTGCACTCAATTTGATTTAATTGTGTTTTTATTTATTTCATTCATTCCACTAGCAGACAGCCATTTTGGCAATTAGATTCATTCTAACAATCATAATATTGGGTTTGTCTGTAGCACAGGAATGTGAATCCTGGCCCTCATAAACCTGTTGTGCCCTTGACAATGTTTTCTTAGCAGAAACCTAATTTTGCTGTTGTATTGTTAAAGACTGTAAAAAACTGTTTATCTCGACCTAGCGAACAAGCTGAAGCTGTTGACCAGATCTGTTTTCATGTAGAACGACTTTTCTAAAGGCTCATGTCGGGGCATAGCCTCAACTTATTAAATGCGGAATGCAAACATGTTGAACTTTCAATTGATATAGCACAGTGCTTTAATTAGTAGGTTATGTAAATGAGCTGGCTTACTTGTACATTTGTAATTGGCCCATCAAAACGACAGCTCCCAGGAGAGTATCAGTAATGACAATAGTTTGAAAGGTTACCCAGTTTTGGGCTAGCGGAGGTTTTCAATTGTTTTGTTCCATTCATTGGTTTTCATTTACATGCTTTCTTCCCCAGTCTATTATTTTCACATTAGTAGTTTGTCTGACCGAATTTTGCTTAATGAAATACAATGGATTTCCATTGAAGATGCTCAGACCCAGCCCTGTGTCTATTGTTCATATGACCTAGATGATATTGTTAATACTTGTATTCAACACACATGAGATGTGCAGTGACAAAGCAAACACACTAGCTTACCATTAATGGATTCAAAAGAATTGAAAAAAAAAACTCTGAATGGATTTTTTCACATGAACAGGTTGTTCCATAAAGGAATCAACCAAATTCTTATGTATTGTTCATATCGTCTTGGTGCACGTTTAAAATAACAATCTTCCGAGTACGAAGAAACGTCCAGTGAGGCAAATAACTACTCCTTTTTGCACTCCAATAACTATACATCGACAACATTTTTTGTGGATTTTCCGCAAGAATACTTTCGTAGTCATGACTCTTAACTAATGAAGTTATGTTTCCAGTCTTTTAGGTTCAAGATGTGTAGCCAGTTTTTGTGTCAGTCATCTAGAGTTTGTAGCTCATAGATCCATTAATACAGACACAATAGTTATTTCTGATATATATATCTAGTTAAAGTTGAACACATCAAATGTGGTGCAGCCAGGCACAGGAATACTACTACTGTGGCATTGTGGGACACTGTTGTCTGTGTGGACAATAATGTCCCATAATTCCATGGTGCAATCTCAGGGATTGTCATCTTACTCTTTAACAAATTTACTGGTAATAGGCCCGCATGTGCAACTTATAAAATACACAGAATTCCATATGATTATATACTGGGGCATTATTTTAATGAAACCCAATAAAATGTTTTTCCATTGAATTTGTTTTACATTAGTATGTGCATGATTTACAAATAATATTTTATCCATCTAAGCTCAATGGATTTTCTTAGACATCTAAGAATTGTTCAGGATTATGGGTAATGTAGGATTATGGGTAATATGGGATTATGGGTAATGTAGGATTGTGGGTGTAATGTAGGATAATGGGGAACATACAACTATGGGTATGTAATATTATGTAAGTGAGAATTCAAATGTTAATATTTGATCATTTTATGACTTTTGTGTGACAATTAATCCAGTGCACTGATTCATTGTTTCTGAAATTGAAAACCTATAAGTTGCAGTAAGTTGGTTGCTCAAATGGGATGGTGCTTGGCATTGCATCCAGAACATCTAAAGTATATTTTTGAATCAAAATGGAGGCTTAGAATCTCATAAGAAATAAAACATGTATATCCCATGATTCCGTGGTGCAATTTAAAGGATCTAAGTCATTGTTAAATTCTTACATCCACATTAATAATATTGTATTATTTGTATATTTATAATATACATATGGGTACATTTTTGTTATACATCTAAAAAAATGTTAATCTTGATTGTGCATTGACCTGGAAATGATTCTATTTCTGATAACAATTTACAGTGACAGGAAATTGAGGGAAGTATATACTTCACTTTGATTGGATGACAGAGGTTCTCCACCTTTGACCTCAAGTGGATTTTCTAAAAACATTTGTATTTGTATAATTACTTATGATTCTGTTTTGCTCAATCTTGCTTTTGTAAACATGTTTTAAATAATATTTTTTGTATTCTCCTCCTCATCAGTGGCAACTTTCATAAACTGCTATTACTATATCTAGTATTAAATTTATAAAAACACTATTGTGTATTAGAACATATTAATACCCATGTTTACATTATGTAAATACTATGCATTATTATATGGTGAAGTATTACATTGTGGATTGGTCCCTGCATAGCATTGTGGAATTAAATTCAGTAATGAAATACAAAATAAAAGCATGATAGACAAAATGAAGCACCTGAAAAGTGTACCAATGTAATATGATTGATTAGTGTGTTGTCTGTATGTCTAAGCAAAGAATCATCTTATACATGTGTGACTTATCAGGACAGTCAAGTGTTCTATTTATGCACTATTCAGATTTTGGATATAATTCACGCAGTAATTGATAATAATGACAATAAGTAACTCCTGACAATATCATAATAGTTCTAAGATAATTTCTGGCATGGAAGTGACTATGTTGGGTGGTTCATTATTTTAATACTCTTAACTTATCAATAATTACTATTAAACAATTATTACTAATTATTACTACTATATAAGAAGCTGTTAATAAACCACTAATACTAATTAACAACAGCCTAGGTTAACTACTTTTACTAACTAGTTGTAATCTACACAAACCACTATTACAAACAACATGTAGTAGTAACCTACATAAACCACTAGCTATTTCTAATTACAACAAATGTAGTATTAATATTCATAAACCATTATTAATACATGTAACTAGAAGTAACCTACATGAGCAACTTTTACTAACTAGTACTATTAAACCTACGTAAATGAATATCACTAACTAGTGTTAACCATCATAAACCACCACCACTATAGAATTTAGAGTCACGCTGACTTAAATCATTAATATTCATGGCGCACAAATTAAAACAATTGTTTTAAAATTCAAAATTGAAGAGTAAAACTCCATAAACTAGGATTAAAATTAAAGAAAATATCATGATCAGTAAAGAAATCAAATCAGATACACTGTAAACTATTGCTATAGATACACTATTGTGACTGTATTTTATTTGCTGACCCCTTCCTATAATGCAAGATTTATGCTAATGACAGATATCATCTGATTGTCAAAAATAAAATTCTTGAAAATCTGAATCCATAATCTGGCATCTCCTGCCATTATAGATAATAATATAGCAAAATAATAGTAATGTTGATGCGTACTGTAATAACGGGAGAATGGCTTGAAATGGAAGCGAAGAAAATATTGTTATCCAATAATGACGTCACAATGCATACAAGCATTGATCATCTTTCCCATGCCAGGTACGCACAAATTGACGCTATTTTTAAATAACGTTTTAGAAATACGGGCTCCACATGATGTGAGATCATGGAGAGGATCAATGAGAATACCATTGATGGTTGCTAGGCAACGAAGAGATCAGTTGTGGATGGATTCCGCCAGTGATGGAGAAGCTTTGGTTACAAGACTTGAACTGTGTGGGTGGATCAAATTATTTATCTTTCTAGACTCACCCATTTTCTTCAAAATCATGCTAAATTAAAAGTGACTTTTTAATATAAGAAAAATGCAAAAACATTTCAAAAAGCTTGTCATCAAATTTGCACATCCATTAAACCCAAAAAATCTAATTTTGCAACAGTCATCCTTTCTGTGTCAAAAAAATAAATCTCTTCATTTGTCAGATTTTCCAGATGACTGTACATTCCTCATTTGCATAAATCTCTTTATTTGTCAGATACTC